GCACGCCCCCATCTCCCGCCCAGCCACAATTATTTCCTCGAGCAGAGAGAGCAGCCCCCCCCCCCCCGACCCCTCCAGCCCCCTGCAGGCCCCCAGGCTCTAAACTCGGACTGTTTGCTGCAGATTTTAAATTACAGCTGAAAACCACACAGAAAATCCAACTAATTACAGGTTTAAGACCCTCCACCACGAGCCATCTCAATCCCCAGCTCTGCTTCCCTCCTTGCTGCCCCAGGAAACTCCCCCTAAATCACACACAAATTAGGATAGTTCAGGTTAAAGCAATTCTTTGGAAAACTATCAAGGGAGAGCAGAGATCTGTCAGCGTTGTTTTGCCCTCGCCTGGTGCCCAGGACACGCCAGCACGGACGGGAAAGGGAGGAAAAGGCGATGGGAAAGGAGAAGGTAAAGGAGGAGGAGCGTTAGCAGAGGGGAAAAGCCAAATTAATCCCTGGCATGAACAAGGCCCGAGACAAACAGCTGGAGGCAGATTGATGGAGCAGTAAAGAGTTTTCTGTAAAGCAGTCAGTGTTTTAATAAAAAGAGTCATTTTTACTACCGAGCTCTAAACCAGCTTTCCTCTCTTTCTACCCAACTTGAGCGTGGGACCTGACCTCCGCGCTGTGCCAGGAGCAGGCAGGAGCCAGCGGTCCCGAAAACGAGGAGCATCCCGAGCCCGGGGCATCTCATAGAGGGAACGGGTACGGGGACGACTCGGGGGAGCCACAGCAGGACACGGTCCGGAGCTGGGAGCGAGCGGAGCCCCCGAATGCCACCCAGGGACGGTGCCCACGCCATTCCCTCAGGAGAGGGGCAGCTCCCCACGGCTGCCGGCTGGCTCTGCTCCCCCCGGCCTGGCCATCGGAGCGAGGAGATGGACCCAGAAAACAATGAAAACGGGTTTAAAAGCCGACTGATTTAAAAACAGAAATTAAAAATTAAAAGAGAAGCAGGTCCATTTGCATTTTGTTCCTTACAGCTCCCGAGACTTCAGGGATGCCTCCAACTCACACACATGAGCCTTTCCCCACACTCGCCAAAGCCAGAAACACCTTTTGGGTTTTTTTTCCCCCTTTCCCACGACTCTCAGAGATGGGAATTTCTCAGGAGCCCCCAAACCCACCAAAGCGGCACGAGCCGACGCGCCAGCGAGGAACGAGCAGATCCCAGGCAGGGAGAGCGGCTCCGGAGGGGCCCCCTTGCGATGGGATCTGGGAGCACGCCGGCTGGG